GGGGGCAGGGGTCCACGTTACATGCTCGAAGCTGAAACTGATTAAGTACGTCTCGACTGAGGAAAAAGACGATATACTGGAGGAACTTGATTTGTGAAATCTCGTTAAAGCAGTTGTAGATATGGTTGCAAGAAGAATAGATTTAGTTTAGATTTTTAACTGTTAAATACATGTATGCATCATCATAGCATGAATATTTCTTATCAGACTTATTTCTGTATCGTATGAAAAAGCAACACAATTTTTAGAATGCGGGAATGGTGTCTCATAGAACCCAAAATAATTTAAATGCAACATTTCTGATCAAAATCACATTGGGATCCCCCGGCCCCGGCATCACAGAGAGGAAATAAGGTCACACTGACCCCTACTCCTATTTTTCAAGATGACTTTTCCAATTTATTTAATTCCGAGTAGAAATGTCTGGAAATATTCATGTCTTCGATGTACTTTATAATGTTCGGAATTCTGCTAGATTTCACCCCCAAAATGCATGAAATCGCAATTCAGGGACCCTAGATTTCATAATTTTCCGGACAGTCTCACGCCGAATGCGTGAGGTTCGCCCCCACAAAATTAAGGTTTGGCTACGCCACTGGTTATAGCTGTACGATTATAGCTACAAAGAGTTGAAGTTATTGTTTACAGTAAAATATAGCTGAAGTTAATAAAATAAAGTTTTACAAAATCTCTCTTCAGACTCGGGCCAGTCGCGCGTTCGCCAAACCTCGACGGCTCATATTTTTCGTTCTGCCTTTTTTTCTGTTTTGCCCCTCCCCCCACCTCAGTGAAAATTCCTTAAAAAAGGCACTGTATCAAATTGGTTTAAATTTTTGCAAACCCTATGCAGCAATTCCAGAGTGCATGATGTCGTCGATTCTAATATTTACAAGATATCTCTTTAAAACGTCAAATCGTATTGCCAATCCCTGTACGCAATCTGGGTCACCAAGGCTAGCTGTCTAATCGCGATATATATCCTCAATAATGTTCAGTGCACCAACCATTTCATGATTTTCATCACTAGTGATTCCGCTCGTTCGTAGCCGCAATATAGGAATATGCCAGGGGGGAAGTTTAACGAAGCGTTAATTAATATTGGCGGATATTTAACGCGGTGCTATATATAACCGCCAATATTCACTTCTCAAATGCGTTTTCAACATGTTTTGAAACTTCAACATTGAAAATTACTTCAATATCTATACTTCAATGTTGTATTTCACTTGAATTTGACATGTTCAATATTCAAATTAACATCAATGAGGGAAACATGTTGAAATTGAAGCAATGTTGAATTAAAGTAGCATGCGGAATTTGATATGTTCAATGCCGGAATTCACTTCAATACGGAAACATGTTGAATTAATATCAACATGAATATTGGCGCAAATCTGACGCCATAAAAGCACGTATTGTCATCACTATAGCAATGGAGCTAAAAATGTTGAAATGCTAACACTTCGTAAGGTGTTCTTTTGCGGCAATGGTAGTCATGGTAATGTGAAATTTATAAAATTTATTTGTAATGCTCTTGGAAAGAACAATCTAAAGATACTTGATCAAGTTTATACGTTCAGAATTTAAGTTAGTACCACTTATACATTCAAATTTAAAATTTTGTACAATGTCAAATGGTACAAAGTACGTTGGATCGCAAGGTTTGAAATATTTGCTTCAGAAACTGTACTTATCTGAGGTCTAGATCAGTGGGAAAGATGCACTTTAAATGCGCGTCAATTTGCGTTGCCAATATTTCAAAAGTTATGACGCAAATTATTACCATTCAAATGACAACAGCAATGCAAAACCAATATACCACCTACAGAATGAACATTAACACTTTCTGAAACTTTTAGCATTTGATTATGCACAGAAGTGAAAACATAATGAAATGGATCATGAATTCAATTGGCCGACTTGTGTGTTACCTGCGAATACCTACAGCGCCGGTCATTGTTGAGACGTATGACTATTATCGGGAGGGTGTTAATTTTGCATTCCAAGTTCTAGATTTTGTTGTTCGTTCCTTGCTTTAGATATCAATGAATTGAATTTTGATATTAAAGAATTGAATTTTGATGTTCGCAATTGCATTTGCACTTCTGTTTGCGCATTCTGTCCTCGAGCATTTTATTGTGATGACGTCACATTATGCGTGACACTCAAAACACAATTTTCAACTCGTATTTAATGATAATTTATTTCCCGCAAATAATTTTAATGTTACATGTAATGTGATCATACATATAAATTTACAGTGAATAATATTACAAAATGGCGGAAAGAAGACGTGATCCGGTGATCGTCAAGAGTCTTCGGAAATCGGAATCTCCGTTGTAAGCTGTACTGCAGATCTTGAAGGAAGTCCAGATCGAGACTACAGCATTTTTCGCAACGACTCGCTTTATCACACTGCTCTAAGATTTGACGAAGCGTTTGAATTTGATGAATCTGTTACTGATTTAATTTAACATGCAAAGGACTTCTCTTTGAAGCCATGTTGGTACAGAGTTGTTAAACACCGTTTATAGTGCCCGCAATTATTGACCGGTGAGCCAGGACGCCCGAAATGTTGGTTGAATTGGACGCACTGTTTTGCCCATATTGTTGTTCCTTGCACCCTCGGAGGAACATCCTTCATTTTCGGCTGAATTTTGCGTTAAAATGCTTGCAGCACGGCGCAATAAAGCTACTGCTTCTTGCAATTTTGAGCGGCTCTCGGCCATTTTATCCGTATGCCGAACAGCCGAAGTAACAATGTTGGAATATGATGTTTGTGGTGTTACTCTGAGTGTGCGTCCACACCGGGCAAAAGTTTGCTTTGCCACGGTGGGAATCGAACCCGCGACCTTTGGTGACTAACACCAACACACACAAATAATGTTGGAATAATTAGAGATAATTAGCATTATTTGCTGGAAATAAATTATCATTAAATACGAGTTGAAAATTGTGTTCTGAGTGTCATGCATAATGTGACGCCATCACAATGGAATGCTTTAAAGAACAGTATGCGCAAACAGAAGTGCAAATGCAATTGCGAACATCAAAATTCAATTCTTTAATATCGAAACTCAATTCAATATCATAAAGCACGGAACGAACAACAAAATCTAGCCTTGGAATGCAAAATTCAAAAATATTAATTTTGGTAATCACCCTCCATATTATCACAGAATAGATACAGGACCAGAAGTGTCACTCAGACGATATTTTGTCCGAAATTTTACGAGTGCTGACGTGAAAATACGCCATCATATGACGCAATCCTGGAGTGCACACGGAAGTTTTTCATAGGAAAACATAGGTAAAAAGTGCCGGGTGCACTCCAGGATGGCGTCATACCACGCAAAAAAATTCGGACGTTGTCCTTCAGCCAAAACAAATAGGAGTGACACTTCTGGTCCGGTATCTATTCTGTGATATTATGTCCATATTATTGTAGTCGCATGCAAGTGGTTAGCGCCCATTGTTTTTACTATTAAGCCCTTAAAATTTTCCATTCGAGTAAACTGGACATTACATGAGAGCTAGGCCAAGAGTCAGAGCTATTAAGAATATTTTAGGTAAAAAGGTGATGAACAACAGCAGGATCGTGGGAGCAGGGGGTAACTCCCCCGCCCGTTTCGGATTTTTAAATTTAATGGACCGAAGGGTTTTTAGTAGATGGAATTTTCGAATAAAAATTTATATACAATTTTAGATCTAACCGGAACCACCTGCGAAAAATACAACTTCAGGCCCTCTGTCTCTGACTGTTTGTATTCGAAAAACTGGAAACCGTATTGTCTTCGTGATCATGAAGCTCTAGCAAAAACGAGGTCGCATAAATATCATGCATTACGATAATGCTCGTCAAACGTAAACAGCAAACGAAGACAAGTACAAACATTGACTTTGTTGCCGTAAGTAAAAGACAGTTGATAACACTGACAAGCAAACCAAAAGGCGTTTCCCAAGATCACTAACTTCACAACCTCGTTCCAGGTCTTTTCCGCGCGGTTTTCATAAGTACATATTTCCAATTGTGTAGTTTCTAATCTATTGTTAACCTTTTCATACGTTATTTTCCATGTATTATTTGTAATTGCATAATTTTCTATACCAAAATATTTC